GCCCCCTCCCCCCCCCCCCTGCCATTGCTCACCCTGCACCAGGGCCCCTTTCCTTCTTCTCTCCGTCCCAACGGCAGCAGAGCCTGACAAGCAAACATGCTGCTGCTGGCAGCACTTGTGGCCACAGCCGCTTGGTCGTGTAAGTCCTTCCTCATTTTCTTACCTTTCCTCACAGGCAGCCGTGCCTGTGCTAGCAGGCATCTTCCCAAACCCCTCAATTCCAGCTAACGCCAGCATTTGTCCTGTTTTTTCCCTAGGTGGATCTGCACAAGAAACTCCCGTGCAGACCCCTATATCCATTACCAAGTTCCAAAGAAGTGCACGGATGATGTGCGAAATCCAAGCATTAGGGACGAATTTTGATGGCACCGTCATACACTGGTATCAGCAGAAGGAGGGGAAAGGTCCAGAGAGACTCCTGTTCTTCTCAGGAGGGAAAGCTTCGGTTGAAAGTGGCTTTCAAGCAAACAGGTACATGGTTGAAAAAGTTTCCAGCCAGAAGCGGTGCATTCTTACAATCAAAGATGTCATTCCAGATGACACTGCTACTTACTTCTGCGCGTACTGGGACCCTCACTGTGACAGAAACTCCAAGATCATCAAGGCAAAAATAAACCCTCTGAACCTCAATGTCTGAACCGCAGGGTCGTAACTGTGCCACTCCCCGAGTCTTCTCACTCCATCTGATAGGAGCTGCTGGAAGCCCAAAGCTTTCTCTCCTACCCAAAAAGAGCAGCTAAGCCTGCACAAGTGTCCTCTTCAAACCCTGGGACCTCATTAGTGCTCTGCTCTTCAAACACACATCTCCTGGTTCAAGGGCAAGGGAAGTCTTCACTGCCTTAAGAGTCAGCAAATAAGCCCTGCAAACTCACTGGATTTTTGTTTGCACAGCTGTGGCAGAAATCTAGTTGTCCTTGTGGGACTGAACATTGCATTGATGTTCTAGTGCAGCCACTCTTCTCCCCTAGGAAAGAGAGGGCAGTAAAAGGAAGACGAAGTGCTGAAGAAAGTACCTTGGTGGTGGGAATGACGGGCATGCCGCTGCCTAGCACTTCTAAGAGTAAGTTCCCCACTACAGTCTTCCCTGCTCTACATATTGTTTACCTAATTTAGATACCACAGAATCCCACACGGACCAGTTTATATCAGAGATTCACAGGCTTTTGTCTACCACAGGTGATGATGTGCTGCTTATAACCATCCGCTTCTTTCATTTCAACTTACGGTAAGCAGGATTAACAGGGGTTTTTATGGAAGGAAGGAGATGTACTGAAACATTCAAGTCTCAGACTTTTGCAAAGGGGTGCCTCTTAGTTCCGTGAATCAGCCCTATTTTTTCTTGTTTTCTGCCTTTCGCGTGCAGTGGCTTCCAGCATCCACCACCAATGCACTTGCAGAGCAGCAGTCAGCGTTGCCGTTGTTCTCGGGGATCCTTCCCTTGTGCTCCTGTCATGGCGTTGGAAAACTTCCTGAACCGGACCTCAGCCTCGTCTCAGCATGTGCCATCACTGTGCCTGTTTCATGAGAGCAAGATTGATGTGGACCATGCAGAGACCCAGCTCCAGCGTTTTCACTACCTCTAGCGCACTGCGGAGGTCTCACACTGGGCCAGCACTCCCCGACTTTCACGAGTCATCTATGGTCTCTCTACAGAGCAAAGCCACAGACAGGGGAGAGTCTCCTTGTTCCCTTCCCTTCCCTTCCCACCTGCTGCCCCATCCCCACTGCTCCCCGCAGGACCTCAGGGGACCCCTTCCTCTCACTTGATGCGTGCTGTCTCCGGCTGCCACCCAAGGGAGTCCCCTGCTCCTCCCACCTGCCATTGCTCACCCTGCACCAGGGCCCCTTTCCTTCTTCTCTCCGTCTCAGCGGCAGCAGAGCCTGACAAGCAAACATGCTGCTGCTGGCAGCACTTGTGGCCACAGCCGCTTGGTCGTGTAAGTCCTTCCTCATTTTCTTACCTTTCCTCACAGGCAGCCGTGCCTGTGCCAGAAAGCATCTTCCCAAACCGCCTGGAATGTCACTTCAAAGACTTCTCTGGAGATTTTGATGGCACTGTCATACACTGGTATCAACAGAAGGTGAATAAAGCTCCAGAGAGGATACTCTACTTAGCAAAGACAAAAGTAGTAGATGAGGGCTTCCAAGCATACAAGTACATGGTTGCAAAGCTTTCTCCCCAGAAGCTGTGTGCTCTTACAATAAACGATGTCCAGGCAGACGACACTGCTACCTACTATTGCGCCTACTGGGAACCTCACGGCAGTAGGCACTCAGAGATCACCCAGACAAATACTCCCTCAGCGTCTCAACCACAAACAGCTTGCAAGAGCCCAACTCACATGCCCCGGTGTGGGTGAGCTGCCTGGCCTCAGGCGCAGGCTCTGGAGAAGCCGGACATGCTTGGTGCTGATGGACTCCTTGGAAGCTGCCGAAAGCCAGAGATGTCGAATGAGCAAGGGCAAAGTCCGATGTCCAATACCTAACCCATTCATTCTACTCCACCTTCTCCTCCCTTTTGTTCAAGCATGTCAGCGAACTGGTTGCAAGGATTTATTGAAGGGAAAGGAAGCGCTTTTCCAAGGGGCCATCCCAGGATCCGCACAGCGCTGGCTGCTGCAGCTCCCTCTCGCTGCTCCAGAGCAATTCCGTGTGAGTGCAGTCTTTGGGAGAGTCAGTGAGAGACATCCCATCAAGTATCCTACTTTGCACAATGCTGAGCATCTTGTCTGTCCTTCCTAGGATGTTGACTGTCTGTCCTGGGCTGTAGAGTGATGGGAGGTACGTCACACGTCTAATAAACAGCCGGGAGGTGCTGCTAAGCTGTAGTGTGTTTGTGAGCTAAAAGTCAAGAACAAACAGGAGCTCTTTCCAGAAATATGGTAGGAAACTTGTGAGGTCTGTCTATCCAGGATCAGTGATGTGCAAGCTCTGGGACAATGCAGCACTGTTGTTGATCTTGTAGCTTTTTGTGGTTTTACGACATAGCTCACATGATTGGGGTTTTTTTCATCCTGCTCTAAAGCCACAAACAGAATCTCCAGTCGCAAGGGGTCTGCACTTGTGATTATTTTGCCATTATGACAGGAAACCAGCCAAATGCCGTTTCAAGATCTAACAGCTATGGATGCCAAGTGCTACGCCGTGAAACGTTAAACAGTTATTCTGAGGCGAAAGTTACACTTCTCGAAGGCACTTTGCCCACCCTTTGTATTGCTAACAGGATTTTCCCAGTTGGTGGGAAGTAGAGCCTGCTCTTGGGACTCCCTCTCGACTTGCCGTCAGTGCCGCTGCTCAGCACTCTGCAGGGTGAACCGTTCAGCCAAAGCCCAGCAGAAAGGCGAGGAAGAGCCCGTCACCTCGCCAGGAATTGCAGGAAGCCAGGAGACAGCCACAGCGCTCTCCCATGCTGACTTCAGCTCTTGCCGCAGTGGCAGTGAGTGGCTTTCCCCGCCCCTTGGGTGCTTCGGGCTCCCAAGCAAGGGCTGGGGTGACTCTGCTGAAGCCAGCAGGGTCTTCAGTCTTGACGCAAGGGGTGGAAGACGCAGACAGGGAAAGGCAGGAGAGCAAGGCAGAAAGGAAGCAAAGCCATCAGCAAAGCACTGGGGAAGGGGGCAGCCTGCTTTCGGGTGTCTCCCACGCCGCGGGGAGCAGTGGGATGGGGTGGCTCGGGTGTGGAGCACACGCTTTCCGTGTCTAAGATGGGACGGTTGTGGTATTGCAGATAGGCCTAAAATCCCCTGAAATTTGCAGAATGCTCTCCTGCTTTTCCTTACACTTCCTTCCTCGCAGCGTGCACCTCCTCATCTTGTGTGCCTTGGTGAAACAGCTGACCTGCTTTTCATCTCTTCTCTACAAGCAATAAGCTTTGAGCGAGGGAAGAAGCCGGCCCTGAAAGGGAGTGTCCTGTCCAGATAGAAGCATCTACAACAAGACTGTTAGCAGGCAGGCCTGAAGTTCCCTAACTTCTGATTAATGACTGTAACGAATTCCTCAGTGTCTGAATGGCTTTACACAGAATCACAGAATGTTCGGGGTTGGAAGGGACCTCTGTGGGTCATCTAGTCCAACCCCCCTCATGAAGCAGGGTCACCTACAGCAGGCTGCACAGGACCTTTACATTCTCTTCAGAGTTGCTGTGACACATCTGTTAGATGTACCAATGCAGAAAGTACTGTTAGATCGTGAACTTCTAAACTGCTGTCTGAAATGAGAACAACGACCAATGTTGCATGGAGTTCCACCTGGTACAGAGTAACAGTACATAGTGCTAGGAAAATTCGATCTTGAAAAAGCAACCGATTTCTACTACCACAAAAAGAACCCCAATAGCATCAGTACCAGTAAAATGTCATTATAAAGCAGCATATTTGTCAGACGGTCTGGATGAGGAAGCAGCGGAGATGGGAGATGGCTGGGGGAGAGGGCTGTTCGTCAGCAGGTGTTCAGATCCCAGTGTGGAACTTCAGTTTTAAATGAGGTTCTGGCTTGTCTGACGAATGCCAGCTGATATCAAAAGAGTTGGACCCATGTGCAACATTTGGCTTGGGAAGCGTACACTATTTTGATTACAAAATCAGATAGGGAACCATACGAGACACAGAGAAAAACGTTGGAACCATGGCTCTCTCGCAGGTTGAAGAACATAGCACATAGGTGAAAATGGGTGTATTGCTACTGATGACCTGAAGGTGTCACAGAAGTTTATACTACACAGCATTTCCATTTCAGCTCGAGAGCTAAAAAGATATGCTAGCCTGCTAGAACTTTGATGGGTACTTATGATTTTTGAAGTGCTGGAGCTGCCAGCAGAACTTTGATAACGCTGGATCTTCCTTTGCAGTACTGGGTAGCTCCACATGCTGACCACAGGAACAGGCAGCCTCCAAGACCTCAGTCAGCAAGAAAGTTCAGGAATGAAGCTGAATCTCCGTCTAGTCCCATATGTGGGGAGTAAATCTTGGAGAAGAGGGCTCTGACTGCCTCTGGTAGAGTCAAAGTTGAACCCCACATCCCTCCTGGCCAGGTGCAGGGTGCAGCACAGCACTTGCCCTCCAGCAGCAGGCAAGAGCAGGTGCTGAGAGGAGACCCAGAGAACAAACACACAGAAGTCCCAGAAATGGTTCCTGACGTCAGTGATACAGGGCAGCAACTCTGCCTGCTTCTGAGGGGCATCTCTGCTCTTCCATCCTCTGACAGCCGATGCGCCCAAAACATCTGGATGTGGAAAACTGACTTTAAAAGCTAGCATAGGATGATCATATGGTGATGAAAAAAAAAGTGATGCTTTTCTCATCATCTAAGCAGTTTTGCTGGGAGAGGGGTATGCCTCAGTAGTGGGCTCTCTTCTAACGATTTTTGGGAGGGGTTATTTGTTTACCTCCTTTTCTTAGTGAAAGATACCATCTTGTGCATAATTATTGAAGGCATCTACAGCTGGCACAGCCTCATTGGACGGTACAAAACCAAGTGGTTTCTGCCACTCCGATCTGCTTTGCCCCACTGGAGTAGGGCCCTGACCCTGTCCCCGTGAGGAAGCCACAAGGAGGGCAGTGACAATGTGGCTGCTGAGCGCTTTCATCCTGGCTGCTGGTTTTCCTTGTCCGTGCCCTGATCGCCCCGCTGTCCGCACGTCCTCCGGAGGCAAAGGGGACGCTCGCTCCGCTCAGCTTCGTGTCTCTCAGCTTTGTCTCTCTTTCACACAGGCGGCTCTGCACAAGGCTTGCAGCAAACTCCCACATCCATCATCAAGCCAGAAAGCAAAACAGTGCTGATCCACTGCCACGTCTCTGACCCTGATTTTAACAACGTCTTCATTCACTGGTACCAAAAGAGGCCCAACGCGGCTCCCAAGCGCGTTGCCTACATGTCCTCCAGGCTCTTCCTCGAAAACCAGTCCAATGAGGGGAAATTCAGCGTTGAGAAGGACCCCGGCAAGTCTGTCTGCACCCTGACAGTGAGCAAAGTGACTCTGCAAGACTCCGCTACCTACTACTGTGCAAAGTGGGATGCACAGCAGTAGAGGGCCGTAGGGCACCTGCACAAAGACCTGCTCTGCTTGCTGAGCCAGAGCCTGACGTGCTGGATGACATGCAGGACCATCCCCACCCTCCTTCCCCCATCTGCCTCCAGTCAGACATGTTCCAAACTCGGGAAGATCCCTGTTCTTACTTTTTCTCCCTTGCCTTGGCTGTGGACCTGAGGAGCAGTGTCTGAGCCCAGGCATTGTAGAGCAGCCTTCCACTAGGCTAAAAGCGGTGGCAAAATTTGCTTCAGACTGCAAACCTGCTTTGTAAATGCCTTGAAGTGAGTTTGTGTGTGTGTGCATGGGAGAGAGAGCAGGCGAGTTTGTGCCGCTGGTGTAGCTGCCGTAATCAGGCTGTCACCGTCTCCAGGGTCAGCCAGGCTGCCGTATCTCGGGGTGGCCTGCCTGCTGCCAGGGCAGCCTCTCCGGGTGATGCCCAAGCGAGTCATTTCCTTCCCCCGCCACAGCCCTCGGTCCCTGCCGGCAGAGCTGTCGCCTTCCTCGCGGAGGCAGAGGCCAGCGAGAGCCCCCGGGATGCTGCTGCTCCCGCTCCTGGCCCTGGCTGCAGCCTGCTCTCGTACGTCCCACGTGTCGGCACGGCACGGGGCAGCGTCAGGACGCAGCCCGTGTTGACCAGTGTGCCCCAACCGCAGGCTAAGAGTGTTTGCTGTCTTTTCTCTCCTTCCTTCTAGGCGCACAAGCACAAGTGCTTCTGAAACAGAGTCCACCATCCCTTACCAGAGGGAACACGAAAACGGCACGGATGGAAAGCATAGTAGAGGGCGTCTCAACCTTCCGGCCGGTGGGTACACACTGGTACCGACATACGCTCTCCAAAGCTCCCGAGTAGAGTCTCCACATCGGATCAGGGCCAGCTATTTATGATGACAGCTCCTACAGGAACAAGCACTCTTCCTCGAAGACAGGTACCAATGTCTGTGCTTTCTCATTCGAGGACGCCAACCCCGATGACGAAGGTACCTACTGCTGTGCCTACTGGCAGTCCCACAGAGCTGGCAGAGCATGGGCAGCCTGTGCAGAAAGCTGCCTCCACCCAACTGCAGAGACCCGCGACTGCACCTTCGTGCCTCCCAAACACCCCGGCAGGCTGATGCCCAGGATGTCAGCGTCAGTTTTGATGGCTGCGCTCAGCAGCACAAGACTGAGAGGAACGTAGCAAAAAAATGATTTCAGAGTGAGTATTTTAGTCCCTTTCTATGCTGTTACTGATGAGCTTTAGCTTGCCAGTAAATGTAACCCCCTCCATGGCAGCCAGCTGAAGAGCCACCATTGGATGTGCCCAATCAGTCATTTCCTCCTCCCAGTCGTTTGACTCTTTCTCCACCCAAAGGGCTTCACAGCATTGCTGTCTCTGTGTGTCATTTCCAGGTCCCACCCGCACGGGGAGCATGCTGCTGCTTCCAGTCCTGCTTGCAACTTCACTGTGCTCCCGTAAGCCCTCCTGCCTCTCCCCTCTCCATCGCATCTGCCGAGAATGCAGTCCTGGCTCCAAACTCCAGCGGTTTCATCCCCTCACACCAGTCTCCGCTTCTTCCAGGTGCAGACGCGCAGGCAGTGCCGGTGCAAATCCCAGAGCTGCAGAGGCAGGTGAAGGGCAGCTCTGCCAGCATGACGTGCCAAATGAGCACCGAAGACACCGTGCACTGGTACAAGCAGCTTCCTGGAGAGCCGCCAAAGAGGATCCTGTACGTGTGGAGACAGTCACCTGTGTTTGATGACAGCAGCGATAGAAGGAGGTTTCAGGTTCGGAAGCATCCTACTGAGCCCCTCTATGATCTCACATTAGATTATTTAACCCCGAGGGATTCTGGCACTTACTACTGTGCTTATTGGTCTTATCAAGACATCACAGCGTTAGACAGGCAAAGATCAGCCGTACAAAAAGGCGTTTTGTGCTCTGAACCACGAGCTCTGAACTCCACCAGAAACGCAGATACTTCCCTGTTCCACCCCTCTCAACAATTCATTGTGACCACTGTTACGTGGATGATGCTGGTAATCAGCGTATTATTTCAGTACTCACACTTCTCTGGAACAGTCACTTCAGGGCAAATACGTGGGGCTTTGCTCTGCAGATGGAGGCTTGATTGTACAGAGAGCCCTCACCTGACAGCGAACGCGGCCGGCCTGTCTGTGTGAACAAATGTGAGATGGAAATGCTAAAAATGACATTGCAAACCCACTCTCCGTTCCCTTTCAAAGGTCACAGCACTCAGTACAGATTCCTGAAAACCAGAAGCAAACAAGCCCTCTCTTCAAATCCTCTCTTCAAGCAAGGCAAGAAGAAAGACCCGGGGGACTACAGGCAGGTTAGTCCGATCTCCATCCCTGGGAAGGTGATGGAGCAACCAATCCTGCAAACCATTTACAGAGAGAGGAAGGTGAGGAAGGCAACCAGGTGTAGACAGCATTCATTTACAAAGGCCAAGTGATTTAGCCAGCTTTAGATACCGAAGCCACCTGCTAAATGGCTGTTGGCCATTTCCTCAGTGACAAGTCTTGCTGGTGATTATTTGAGCCTTGAAAGCTATGTTGTTGAAGACAACTCCAGCCACCTCATGTGTCCTCGGGAAACAGACACCAACATGTTTGATCTGTAAATATGTCTACAGGGAGACTTGCCATGTTAAAAAGCTACAGTAGAAAACCTAGACAGCATCTGTAATATAGACATTAAGTGTTGTGAGACCCAGCCACTACCGTATTCCTTTACTCTTCACCTGGCATCAGGCACCTGACAGGTTTCTGCTCTGCCATCAGAAGAACAGCCTCATGTTGCTACTGTTTTATACATGGCCTGGTAGTTTTTGGCAGCGGGGGTTTGCTTTCAGGTCCTCGATGTCCCATTGCCAAGGCAGTTTTCACTCTCATTAACGACAGCTGCCCAGGCAGGAGATTGCCCTGGGATGCTGCTGGGATGGGTGACCTTCTCCTTGAGCCTTCCTCCCTTCACCTGAAAGTCTGTTTCGCAGTTCTCTCCTCCTCCTCACTTGGTCTTTTCCTGCTGGTCCTTAAGTCATTTCTCCTTCTCATCCCGGTCAGGGAGGCCTGAGAGAAAACTAAATAGACTTTCCCACGGTGGTTTCCTGGGGAGAGCGGGACCCTCTCCACTGCCATCACGCAGAGGCACCTGTGTCTCCTTGCCTGCTTCTCCCCGCAGCCCTGCGCTCACGGGCACCTTTCCAAGCCCGTCAGCAACCCCTGCTCACCACCAGTTGCTGCATGTGGGCAACTGCCCGCAGGAGGGAGGCCGAAGCCGCTCTTCTCCCTCGCTCGGGGTGAGCTGCAGCCCGGGCTCACCGCTCACCGGGGAGCGTCCCGCGGCACCAGCCACGCTCGTCCGGATGGGACCCACGCTCTGTGGCGGCTGCCGGGCGGAGGACGGGGTGGGGGAATGCCTCCCACCGCCTCGGGCACTCCGCACCTCTCCGCACCCCTCTGGCTGACGCCACGCACTCACCGCCCACCCAGCTCACCTCCGGGCTGAGACCTTCATGCCCCAAGACAGAGCGCCAGCTGCTCTCCCTCGCAGCCCTTCCTCAGGGGCTCTGCCTCTCCTTCTCCAGGGCTGCCATCCTCGCATTTGCCAACGTTTCTCCTATTTACCTGAACCGCAAACCGGACTACACACTTCCAACCGATTTTAGCATTGGCCAGCCTGCAGCGGAGCGGGCTTTCTGCAAACGTAGCCCCATCTGCTTTTGCACAGAAGACCCATCGCTGGAGACAGCTCTAGAGAGTTTCTTCCTTCTCCCACAAAAGCCTCTCCCCTTCTGGGCTCCCTCTCACCCTCCTCTCCGTCCCAACGGCAGCAGAGCCTGACAAGCAAACATGCTGCTGCTGGCAGCACTTGTGGCCACAGCCGCTTGGTCGTGTAAGTCCTTCCTCATTTTCTTACCTTTCCTCACAGGCAGCCGTGCCTGTGCTAGCAGGCATCTTCCCAAACCCCTCAATTCCAGCTAACGCCAGCATTTGTCCTGTTTTTTCCCTAGGTGGATCTGCACAAGAAACTCCCGTGCAGACCCCTATATCCATTACCAAGTTCCAAAGAAGTGCACGGATGATGTGCGAAATCCAAGCATTAGGGACGAATTTTGATGGCACCGTCATACACTGGTATCAGCAGAAGGAGGGGAAAGGTCCAGAGAGACTCCTGTTCTTCTCAGGAGGGAAAGCTTCGGTTGAAAGTGGCTTTCAAGCAAACAGGTACATGGTTGAAAAAGTTTCCAGCCAGAAGCGGTGCATTCTTACAATCAAAGATGTCATTCCAGATGACACTGCTACTTACTTCTGCGCGTACTGGGACCCTCACTGTGACAGAAACTCCAAGATCATCAAGGCAAAAATAAACCCTCTGAACCTCAATGTCTGAACCGCAGGGTCGTAACTGTGCCACTCCCCGAGTCTTCTCACTCCATCTGATAGGAGCTGCTGGAAGCCCAAAGCTTTCTCTCCTACCCAAAAAGAGCAGCTAAGCCTGCACAAGTGTCCTCTTCAAACCCTGGGACCTCATTAGTGCTCTGCTCTTCAAACACACATCTCCTGGTTCAAGGGCAAGGGAAGTCTTCACTGCCTTAAGAGTCAGCAAATAAGCCCTGCAAACTCACTGGCTCCTTTGGTGCTGTTTGCAGAGCCGTGGCAGAAATCTAGTAGTTCTTGAGAGGCCAAACATTGCATTGATGTTCTAGTGCAGCCACTCTTCTCCCCTAGGAAAGAGAGGGCAGTAAAAGGAAGACGACGTGCTGAAGAAAGGACCTTGGTGGTAGCAATGGAAGGCTTGCCACTGCCTAGCGCTTCTAAGAGTAAGTTCCCCACTACAGTCTTCCCTGCCCTGAAGGAAGGAGATGTACTGAAACATTCAAGTCTCAGACTTTTGCAAAGGGGTGCCTCTTAGTTCCGTGAATCAGCCCTATTTTTTCTTGTTTTCTGCCTTCTACGTGCAGTGGCTTCCAGCATCCACCACCAACGCACTTGCATTGCAGCAGTCAGCGTTGCCGTTGTTCTCGGGGATCCTTCCCTTGTGCTCCTGTCATGGCGTTGGAAAACTTCCTGAACCGGACCTCAGCCTCGTCTCGGCATGTGCCATCACTGTGCCTGTTTCATGAGAGCAAGATTGATGTGGACCATGCAGAGACCCAGCTCCAGCGTTTTCACTACCTCTAGCACACTGCAGAGGTCTCACACTGGACCAGCACTCCCTGACCTTCACGAGTTGTCTGTGGTGTCTCCACAGAGCAAAGCCACAGACAGGGGAGAGTCTCCCTGTTCCCTTCCCTTCCCTTCCCACCTGCTCCCCCATCCCCACTGCTCCCCGCAGGACCTCAGGGGACCCCTTCCTCTCACTTGATGCGTGCTGTCTCCGGCTGCCACCCAAGGGAGTCCCCTGCTCCTCCCACCTGCCATTGCTCACCCTGCACCAGGGCCCCTTTCCTTCTTCTCTCCGTCTCAGCGGCAGCAGAGCCTGACAAGCAAACATGCTGCTGCTGGCAGCACTTGTGGCCACAGCCGCTTGGTCGTGTAAGTCCTTCCTCATTTTCTTACCTTTCCTCACAGGCAGCCGTGCCTGTGCCAGAAAGCATCTTCCCAAACCTCCCGTGCAGAGCCCTCTGTCCATCACCAAGTCTAAGGGAAGCGTACGCCTGGAATGTCACTTCAAAGACTTCTCTGGAGATTTTGATGGCACTGTCATACACTGGTATCAACAGAAGGTGAATAAAGCTCCAGAGAGGATACTCTACTTAGCAAAGACAAAAGTAGTAGATGAGGGCTTCCAAGCATACAAGTACATGGTTGCAAAGCTTTCTCCCCAGAAGCTGTGTGCTCTTACAATAAACGATGTCCAGGCAGACGACACTGCTACCTACTATTGCGCCTACTGGGAACCTCACGGCAGTAGGCACTCAGAGATCACCCAGACAAATACTCCCTCAGCGTCTCAACCACAAACAGCTTGCAAGAGCCCAACTCACATGCCCCAGTGTGGGTGAGCTGCCTGGCCACAGGCGCAGGCTCTGGAGAAGCAGGACATGCTTGGTGCTGATGGACTCCTTGGAAGCATCAGCTGCTGAAAGGCAGGGATTTGGAATGAGCAAGGGCAAAGTGCCACGGCAATGGCGGAGGTCCAACACCTAACCCATTTGTTCTGCTCCACCTTCTCCTCTTTTTTTCTCAAGCATGTCAGCGAACTGGTTGCAAGGATTTATTGAAGGGAAAGGAAGCACTTTTCCATATTGTTGTTCCTGGAAAGAGGTCAGCACGTTTTACTGGGTACTGGAGTCCTGCGAAGACTTTGGCCAGGCAAAGACAACCAAAATGGAATGTCTGTAAAATTTAAAGCAAAGGAAAAGGAGTGTTATTTTCACTCAGGAGTCAGTTGCTGTCAGAGAAGGAATATTTTCTACTTATTCTTCCTGAGATCTGGAGGTGGGCATTTTTGTTCTTTGTTTTTTGAACTGTATCAGCTCCTTTCCCCATCTTTCTTCTTACTGATGTCTGTGTGTCACAGCTGTTCGTCATTGTAATGACACATCTGAATCACCCAAAAAGTTGGAGATAGAGTAACCAAAGCTGGTACCAAAGAAAAGAGCTTTCCATGGCTAAGAACAATTTTTCATATTTATGTCTCATGTGTAATGCTTCCCTTCCAGCAACTGCTTCAAAATACATGTTGGCCGTCATGACTGAGAAATTAATCCACAGAGGTTTTTCTGTACCATCAGGCCTCTCCTTCATATTTTCCTCTGCTGTGGTGCCCTGATACTCTTGTCACTTGGTTTATTGAAGTGCAACTCATAAAAGAATAGTCATCTTATGGGATGAAAATGGAGACAACAATTTCAAAGGTGTATGACATCCCCAGTTGGCTGCAGGTCAGTTTTGTGCTCATTCTTCCAAGCCCAGATCATACAGGCGAGTTAGACAAGTATGTGCAATATGCAGTGTTTCACTTTTTCTTCTTATGAGACCTCCCAGCTACTTGGTCATGACCATAACTCAACAGTCCTAGCAACTGCAGGCAAGACGGTGGTGGCCTACTTGACTGTGTGTCTAAAGACACGTCAGGAGAAGGACCAGTCAGCACTGTTCTCTGTCTACGTCACTCCTGCCATTGCTTTGTGGTTGCGATGACGATGTTTCTGCCCAGGAGCCATCAGAGTAGACAACTGCTCTTGTTACACTTACTTCAATGGAAAGACCTTCACCCTTGGTCTAGTTCCTCCCTCTAGCCACAGATCCTAATTTCTTAACTTTGTTTTGTAATCGGTGTGCCACATGAGATCCTAGAAGCACTCAAACTCCTTTTCTTTTGAAGAGCAGACTAAGCATGGAGGCTGTTTGATCGTCAGTAGCGGTGACTCCTCTGGTGTTATCTTGGGCTGTTTTGTCAGACACCTGTGCACAAAGGAGAAGCCTCCTTCTCCCACCAGCTAGCAGATGAAAAGATGCCGGTGAGCTGCTGTTGCAGAGCCTGGAGCGATTCCAGGAGATGGGCAGAAAACAACCACATACCTGGGGCGGAAAATGCAACCTGCAGCATACGGACACCTTAATGATGCTTATGGTGCTGGTGCTGCTTCCTTTCCCTGTGCTGCATTGTATGAAGACAACTAAAAATGAACTGCATGCTAGTATTACTTGATGTCACTCAATTGCAGGTGAGAGGGGGTGTACCCCTTTGGGAAAGAGCAGGATCCTTACCTGAAGGTATGTGTCTTTTTAGTATGCACAGCCCTGTATACCCATTTCTGTGTCCAAAATTCAAGAGAAACCTTCACCTAATTCTTGGGTGTAATGCAGAAGCGTTATGTAACAAATTTGCAACACTTCAGAAAAGAGATTTGCTCTGAAGTGCAGTAGATATCAGCTGAACAACCAGGTGTAAGTCTGAAATTCCTGACATTCTCCCAGCAGCCAAGGGCCAGGCCTTCACTCCGTCTCCTGAGGCTGACTGGGAAAAAATTAGGGTTTTCTTCAGCAACGGCATAGCAAGCATAGCAAGAGAGCATGTTACCTTCTTGCAAAGTCAAAACACAGTGTGGAACAACTGGATCAAACACTTCGGCTCAGGAACCAAGCTAAATGTCTCTAGTAAGTACCATTATTACTGAGCCGATTTTCACAGAGTCCTCAGATAATGAAGAAGGAAAGACTGTAGAAAAAGTAATTTCTGCCTGATAAATCATGTTTTAGCTGTGAACTGCGCATTGTGCCCCAGTTGGGTGGGTTGATGGGCAAGAAATATATTGACCTCAGGAATAGAGAAGCCACCTCTGATTACTGACCTACGTATTAAGGACACAGGAAGGGAAAAACGAGGAGAGGTAAAAATTTAAATATTGGGATGGATTCATTCCTGTTTTGGGAAAGAAAAGCAAACTGCTTGAAAGTTTACTCTCAGCACAGCAAGTCAGAGAAGCAAAAAGTTTCTTATTGCTAGGGGTGGCTCAGTCTGTCGATTGGGAAGGAAAATTGCTGGATGTAATCAGATTATAGTTTCTGGTCCT